TACAGCCCTGAATATTTAGCTCCTCCTCTGATCTCCTTGTAATCATTTCTCTGTAATGGCTATCAGATTGTACTTGTTAACTTATATTTGTGCTGTTAATTCATTTAGTTTGTTCCAAATACTAGGTGCATTTGAATAGAAAAAGCTCTCAAATTTAAAATTTACAACTGATCTAGTATCAACTGCCATTTGTGGAAGCAAGTTTGAAAGCTTGCATGTAGAAGTGCTTCCTAACATCTCTCCTGAATGATCTGGCCCTAATTTTCAGACTATTCCCCTTCCCCTCCTAGTTCTGGAATCTTCAATCAGTGGAAATAGTTTATCTTTATCTATCTGACTTTCCATGTTGATATCTTGAAGATTTCAATCAGATCACCCCTTAACATTGTGAATTCCAGAGAAAATAGGCTTAATTTGTATAATCTCTCCTTGTAACTTCATCTCTGAAGTCCAGGTATCATTCTTGTAGACTTGCATTGTACTCCCTGCAAAGCCAATATATTCTTCCTCAGGTGTGGTGCCCAGATCTGCTCACAGTACTCCAAATGGGGTCTAACCAGAGTTTTGTATAGCAGCAGCATAATTTCTGCATCCTTGTAATCCAGTCCTCTATATTTAAAGGTCAGCATTCCATTAGCCTTCTTGAATATTTTCTGCAAATATTCATAGCACCTGAATCCCCAAGACTCTTTGAACATTCACTGTATTTAACTTTATATCATGTGGAAAATATCCTGATCTGTTCTTTTTTTGTCCAAAACAGATAACCTCACAGTTGCTTACATTGAAATCCATCTGCCACAGCTTTTTCCATTCACCTAGTCTATCAATATTTTACCTTCCCCTGCAACTATGATGGTGTAACACCTACCCATTATCTTCCACTCTCCTCAGTAACCAAGGGCCCAAACACACCTTCCAGGTGAAGCAGTATTTTACCTGCATTTCACTCACTCAATGTAGTCTAGCTGCATTTGCTGCTCACAATGTGGTCTTCTCTGCATTGAGGAAACAAAGCATAGACTGGGTAATCACTTCGCAGAACACCTAGGTTCTGTCCATAAAAAAGACCCTGAGCTTCAAGTTGCCTGCCACTTCAATACACCACCAGGTTCCATGGCCAACATTTCCGTCTCAGGTTTACTGCAGTGTTCCAATGCAGCTCAGCACCAGCTGGAAGAACAGAACCTCAATTTCCACTTGGGAACTACTGTTCTTCTCTCTCTTTGGGCTCTATTTCCACCTATCGTTTACTCCTTACCCCTCTCCCACCCTATCTTCTGCAAAAAAACATTTTTTTTCCTAGCTACTACCAGCTCTGAGGAAGGGTCACTGAATCCGAAACATTAACTCTGATTTCACTCCACAGATGCTGCCAGACTTGCTTACCTTTCCGGCCATTTCTGTTTTTGTTGCTATCAATATTTTAGTTTTATGCTATCATTTACACTGTCTGCAATGCTGCCTGACTTTGTGTTATCAGCACATTTGGATATAATGACTTTCTATACCATTATCCAAGTTATTAATAACGAATGTGAATAATGGAGTCCCTAACATACTTGTGGGACACCAGGAGTCACACCCTGACAATTTGAGTACCTACCAATAGTTCCTATTGTCACCTGCCACTCAACCAATTTCCCAGCCATGTCAGTCATTTGCCCTCAATTCCCTGGATTTTTACCTCAGTTGGCAGTTTCGTACACGGGGCTTTATCAAATGCCTTCTGAAAATCCACATAAATAGCATCCATAGATGTTCCACAGTCCATTACCTTAGTCATTTCTTCAAAATATTCAATAAGGTTTCTCGGGCATGACCTACCTTTCGTTAATTCACGCTGGCTCTTCTTCATTAATTGAAATTTTTCAAGGTGCTCAGTTACCCTATTTTTGATTACAGACTCTAACAATTTTCCCACCACAGATGTTAGGCTAACTAGTTTGTCCTTCCTTGGTTTTCCTCATTTGCCCTTCTTAAAAAGTGGAGTGACGTAAAATTTTCCAATCCAGACGAATGACTTGTATCTGGGGAACTCAAAGGCTATAGTTAGGGCATCTACAAAGTGCTCCCATACTGCCTTTAACACTCTCGCGTAGAAACCATCAGGTCCTGGCGTTTGTCACTCTTTAGTTCTGTTCATTCCCTCATCATTAATGTTTTACTTACATTAATTTTATTGTCCCTGTCCACAGTCCACTATTAATTTCCTTGGGACTTCCGGCAAACTCTCCTCCCTTTCTGCTGTAAGTACTGAGGCAAAATAATCATTCAACATGACCCCTGTTTCCCCACAATCATTGGTAATATCCCCACTTTCGGTCTTTAGTGGGTCAGCATTGCACCTGACCACATAATCTCCTTTTACATAACTATAAAATTTCTTATTATTGATTTTGATATCCCTTCCATTTGTTGTCTTTTATAACCCTTCTAGTAGCTCTGATGAGTTGCTTTGCGGCCTTTTGCTAGGCTTTTTATCTTTCCCATTCGGCAGGATCAGTGCTTTTTTTTTGCATTTTTGTCAGTCATTTCTTTTAGTTTTTTAGAACATAGAATCCCTACAGTGTGGAAACAGGCCCTTTGGCCCAACAAGTCCACATCGACACTTGGAGCATCCCACCTAGACCCATGCCCCTGTAATCCACCTAAGCTACATATCCGTGAACACTACGGGCAATTTACCATGGCCAATCCACCCTAACCTGTACATCTTTGGACTGTGGGGGGAAACCAGAGCACCCGGAAGAAACCTACACGGACACAGGAGAATGTGCAAATTCCACACAGACAGTTGCCCAAGGGTGGAATTGAACCCAGGTCCTTGGCGCTGTGAGGCAGCACTGCTAACCACTGAGCCACCGTGCCGACCCCCTATCTCTTTTGTTGTCCGTGGCATTTTTTTCCCCTCTGTGAAGTGGAATTTTTCCCTCAAGGGTATAAACTGGTTCTAAATTGCATTAAGTATTTCTTTAAACATCCTCCACTGTTCTTCAGTTGATTTACCGATTAGCAGATTTTCCCAGTTTCCTGTGGACAGTCTCTGTCTCATCTCACCCTGCCTTTGCTGCACACTTGCATAATTTCTGTATTTATACAACCCAGCGCTTCAAAGTTGCTACCACCCTGTTGATGTTCAGTATCCTGTACTGTTCTTCAGTTCCACCCATAAGATCTCCACTGCATGCTTTCCCTTCGTTGTATCCTCCCTCACCACTAAAGTGATTTTATATCTAATCAGTAAGGCTACTCCATTTTTCCTCTATGTCCTGTAAATCTCATGATCTGGTATATTTAGATCTCAGTCCTAACCATTCTGCAGCCATGTCTCAGTAAAGGCTACTATAATCATAATCTCCAATTTGAATTTGTGCCTGCAGCTCATTTATTTTATTCCTTACACTCAAACTTGTCCCTCCTCACTGATGCTTTATTCACCTGTTTATTAGTTCTCTCTCGGCTTAATCAATATACTTATAGTTTTGCCATTGCCTGCAGTATCTGAACTAGGATTCCTAACTGTTTCTTTACTCTAAGCTGTTACTTGATTTTTAAACTGTATTAACCTCCCTCAAGCCCTCACTCCTGTGACCTACAAGTCCATTGGAAATCACCTTTTAACTCAAGTTTACTTTAAAGTTTGTTTCCAACAGTGTTTTTTTTAGACATGCATATTTGAATTGGTTCACTGGTGCCAAAAAAAGGTATAAATGACGACTGATATTACAATCTCCTACCTGGAAAGATCCACTAACATAGAATGTTAGGGAAGTTCTCTGGGAGGGCCACGTTTGCCCTGCTTCAAAGTTCAGGGTGGGTTTCAAGTGAATGATGTAGTGAAGCTTAGTCTGCTCAGGCACTGATCCTGATTCATGGCCAAGTGGAACTGGCACTCTAAGCACATCCTTTATGGTCATGGCCTTCTATGGAGAACCCTCCTTCTGCTCCCTCCTTGCAGAACTTCTTTCCTATGTCTTCTCCTTCTATGTCTTTGTCAGGTTACAGGCCATATGAAGCTGGAATAACTGCCTGCATATCCATGTAAGGCTTTCCGTCCTTACTGTGTTCAGCAACTATATCCAAATTGTTCCAGCAACTCAGAATAATGCATTCAGAAACCAAGCCTTCGCAAAACCAGGTCAAAAAATCCTCAACTGCAACTTGTTGAGAGACCCTTTAAATAGTCCCAAAGCACAGCCCACCTTACTTCACATTGTTTATTATTTCAGGTGTGGTTAATAAAGTCGATGCCTCTACCTGCTTTAGCCAAACTTCATATTTGTGCCTTTTGTCAACCAGTCAGCTAACTTAAATAACAATAGCCTCCATTCAAGGTCTCTGAGCATGCACAGATGCACGGTCACCAAAGCAAGTGGTCAGTTGTGCCTCACACACATGGAAACCTGTGGTTGGACTCGGCAACGTTAATAGAACCATGTTTATGCTATTCATTTTTGGGCACAAGAAGTATTAATAACATTGTCATAGAATCTCTACAGTGTGGAAGCAGGCCATTTGGCCCATTAAGTCCATGCCAACCCCCCAAAAAGCATCCCGACTTGACCCTGTAAGCCTGCATTTCCCATGGCAAATCCACTAGCCTGCACATCCCAGGACACTATGGGCAATTTAGCATGGCCAATCAGCCTAATCTGCATGTCTTTGGACTGTGGGAGGAAACCAGAGCACCCAGAGGAAACCCACTTAGACACGGACAGAATGTGCAAACTCCACACAGACAGTTGCAAGGCTGGAATCGAATCTGAGTCACTGGTACTGTGAGGCAGCAGTGCTAACCACTGAGCCACTGTGCCATCCTATTTTGCTGAGATTAGTTATCTGTATGTGTGCCACCAGTAACAAGATTTATAATATTGGTTTAGCTAAATGTTATCTAGATTTATATTAAATATTTCTAAATAATGTTATTACAAGGTAAGTTATGACATTTAAATCTGATATCTGATTTAACGACGTTTACTTAGTTTAATACTTACTGCACTTTTTCCACTGCCTCCAGGTGTTGAGAATTTAAACCTCTAGATTGGTTATCATCTGCATGGCCAGTTGCTCCGTTATTAATTATATTATGGTTAATAGACTCTTGGAAAGTAGGAACAGAATCTTGCTCTGCAGAAATATAGCTAAACTGAACAGAAGTATTCTGAAGTAATTTTTCTTTAAATATATCTATCAAGTCCTTATGATTGGACTTGCACTGAAGTTGAAATTCATTGTGGTCCCCTTCAAGAGTCTCTCCAGTGTTTCTTTCAGCTTCCAAATCATTTGTTTCTTGATTTGGTCCTTTCAGTCCAAGATTTTTAATCTGTTCCGTTGTTTCATTATTGGAAATTGTTGGGTTTGACATGATATCTGGAATAGTCATTTGATTCAGAAACAAATCTGTAGTGTTCTGCACACCAGCATCTGAACAACACAGATATGCCATGGTTTCATCCTCAGCAGAGGAAGAGGCACCACAATTCAAGTGTAAAATGGAAGAACTAATTTCATTTTCTTCAGTGTCAGCACAGAATTCACTTTTAGAGCATTTAACCCCTTGTTTGTAACAGTTACATTCACTTGTGTGGTTAATGCCCCTGGAAAGCAGGTTTCCACATGGTGAGGCATCAACTGATGCTTCTTGATTTTGTTGCTTTTGAAAGTCTTTCCTTTTATTCGTTGACAAAGTTAGTGAATTCATTGTTAAAATGTTGCTGCCTTTACAATTAGACTCTGGGTCATTAATACTTGAACCCTGGTTATTTTTACGTGGTACAGACATTAGCACTTCAATTTCATCATTCCAACTATAATTTTGACTGCAGCAAATGTGTTTCTTTTGAAAGAATGGACCTGGTTGAAATTTCTGAATTTTATCAAGATGGTCATGTGATTCAGCCATCCATTTTCCAATATAACCGAATGGTGGTGATGAAACTTGAGCTTTGTTACATGGATGGACCAGTGAAACATCCATCTCAGTAGAAAGCTGATTACATGATATTATCAATTCTTCATCAAGAGGAATTGTAACCTTTAACGGTGGCTTCTCCACAGAACGCTGGCAATCTGAAACAGACAATAAATCTTCGGAAATGCTGTCAGTAGACGAAATTATGTTAGTTGTGATATTACACATCTGCACATCTTTTATTGCCCTTTTTACTGGAGATTGCAATGTCAAATCGGAATCAATAGCTCTACTAGACTGAAATGAAGTGGTATCTCTAGCTTTGGTAGCTTTTAAATCAAGAGACAAATTACTGTTCATTTGTGCATGTTGTGAAGGAGCAGCACTGTCATCTTGTTGGTAACTTGAAAGATGTTGATTTCTATTCTGTGTCGTGTTTTTGGAGTCAGTTGATAAATGACTCAAGTGCTCTTGACCAATACTGTTTTGTGTATACGCTGTTTGTTTGGAGTTGACTCCTGATGAATGGGCAACTGTGCAGTCTTCATCTGTATTCCACAGTGATGTGATTTTATTGTTGTCTCCTGCCCTTGGACTAATATGCTGATTTTGAGAAAGCAAAAATTCTTGAACATGATTTCTTCCATTTAGTTCTCCTTTCGATACTTCACAGAAGACCGGTTGATTACCATCAATCTGATTTTCTCTATCATTCAGACATTGATAATCATAAGATGAATCACAATTACTACTACATTCATTCTGATTATCTGACCTTTGGACAGCACACCGCAGTGACGAAATGTATTTAATTTCCTCATCATTCATTCTAATTTTAGGTTGATAGATGTGCCTGAGAAGTTCCTTCAAGGGTTGATAACAAAGCTTCTTTTGTGTCAATGGTGACTGTTGAAGTTGTTGGAGTTGTTGATGATAAAGACGCAAATGTCTTTCCCGTTCCTTTTGCAGAAGGTGTATATTGACAGTTGACTCTGGAGTCGTGGGAGACTCATTTTCAAAATTCTCAGAATTATTTCTTTTATTGGGTGAACATTTATTTATTACCTGTTCAGTACAGTGAAATCTGGTTTTGGAAATTATTTCTTTCTGAATGGGATAAACAGTTTGAACTTTCACATTTCTAGTTACGTAAGATTGATTTTCTGAAATTAAATCTTTCTTTTGTCTATGTTGAATTATTTTGGATTTTCCAGGTTTGGGGTTAGTGAGAAAACACTCTTTAGTAATACAGCTCTTCTCAGTTGAACCCTTATCCTTTGAACATTTTTTGATATCTAATGAACCTTTCTTAAGGATTTCTTTATTGGGTGTAGTGTGGCTGAGCCACATGTCCTTTGAGCTGGCCTGCAAAAGCGCATTTTTATTTGCCATTTTTAACGTGGAACACAGAAGGACATTAGGTGAATGAAAAACTGATGATGTTGATTTTGGCTGCATTGTATTTTTAGTCTCACAAGTAGACTGTTCAATTCTCAATTTCATATTTTTCTGCATTGATTTTTCTCTCCATGTTGTACAAGGTGTTTCTTTAGTACATTTTGGAGATAGGCTTCTCGCTCCTTGGCATCCAGTATATATTGTGCTGGATGTTTTGGTTCCTCTCTTCAGTTCCTTTACCCTGAAAACATTAACAGCCAGATTAGCTAAAAACATTCAATATAACTTCATAAAAATTAAATTCTATCATTTTCCAAGAAACTTTGATTTATGTTTTCTCATGTAGGATATTGTTTATTTCCTAAAAGTCAGGTTTTCCTTCCTAACTCAGGTACACCAAGAATCCTGCACAAATATCCCTGGTGACAATCATGCAGTAAGGATGTAGGTAACGTGCAGACCAAGTTCAAGTTGCCCCTTTAAGATACCAGACTCGATTTTGTGGGGCCAATGGGCACCTCACCCAATGGTTAGAGAACCAGCACTTCAGTTATGTTGGGAGGCCCAACTGAATCCACTTAGGAATTGGGCTTCACACATGATTGAGGTCCCTTGATGAAGATAATTTTTTTTCTCTCAGAGGGTACTAAGGCTGTAGAATTCTTTTCCCCAGTGGAGGATGGATCATTGAATATTTCTAAGGCAGAGTTAGACAGATTCTTGATTGACAATGAAATCAAAACATATAAGGGTAGTCAGGAAAGGAGAGTAGAGGCTATAATCAGATCAGCCATGGTCTTTTCAAATTATACAGCAGGTTAGAAGGGCCAAATGGCCTACTTCTGCTCCTGACTTATACAATAATTAATGAGCTAATTAACATGTTGCCACCACCAGCCACGAATCTCATATCAGTCACATCTACCCTGCAACTTAATCAAGGGAGATTCTCCTGTCGCTAGGACACTGCTCCACAGCCTCTCATGATTAAATGGCCTGGTTGCCATGGTTCTCACCATAACAGGCAGCCCCACAGTGTGTCAGTGCAAAAATAAAATTAAACTGCACTATGCGTAGAAATGTCCATGCACAACAAAGAAAATTTAAAGATATCATTGCTCAACAGATGAATATGGTTAGCTGTGAACAAACTTGCAATCCAAATGGCCATGTTTCCTTCCACTGGGGCCATGAGGCACTACAAAAAAATACTCAGAATATTTCAATACGTGGTTGGTTTTGATTTTATATAATCTCCTTGGAATGGAAGGTCGTAAACATAATCCCATTAATCAAGGAGGGAGAGAGAAAGCAAGGGCCTATAAGGCAGTCAGCCTGAAATTAGTAGTAGGAAAAATGGCAACGGCCTATTATACAAACATGCGATTATGATTTAGGAATAGAAGTAGGCCATTCAATCCTTGCAGCCAGCTCTGCCATTCAATAAGATCATGGCTGATCAGTTGGGTTCCAAATTCCGCATTCCTATCTATCCCGATTGGCAGAGTTCGAGAGTTGCCAAACTCTCAGAAAACAAATTCTCCTCATCTCTGGTCCAAAAGGATGGCCTAAATTTTAATATCATGTCCCATCATCCTAGACCCATTCACATCCCTTTTACATTCAATGGTCAAGGTCATTCAATATCTTATACACTTCAATCAAGTCACCACTCATTCTTCTGAACTCCCGTGGAAACAAGTATAGTTTATCCAAAGGTTTATCCAAACCATTTCTGAAGAAGGGTCCAGACCCGAAACGTCAGCTTTCCTGCTCCTCTGATGCTGCTTGGCCTGCTGTGTTCAGCCAGCTCTACACCTTGTTATCTCTTATTATAGTTTATCCAATGTTTTTTTTTACAAAACAACCCACTCACTCCAGAAACTGTCTCGAATGCATTTACATCCTTCCTCAAATAAGATGATTAAAACTGTACAACACACAATATTCGAGGTGTGATTTCACCTTTGTCCTATATAATTGAAACTTAAGCTCCTTACCTTTATGTTCAATTACTCTAGTAATAAAGGATTACATTCAATGTCCTTCTTAATCAAAAACAAAGACAAAAATTGCTGGGAAAACTCAGCAGATCTGGCAGTATCTGTGGAGAGAAAGCAGAGCTGATGTTTCTGGTCCGGTGACCATTCTTCAGAACAGAAAAACAGATGCTGCCAGACCTGCTGTATTTTCCCAGTAATTTCTGTTTTTGTTTCTGATTTTCAGCACCCACAGATCTTTGGTTTTATTGCCGAGTCTTCTTATTCACATGCTGTACCTGCATACTAACCTTTGGTGACTCATGCACCAGATCAAACTAGATTCTTCTGCACCTCTGAATTCTGCAATCATTAAATATTGTTGTGCTTTTTGTTTTGAAAGTATCCCTACCAAAGTGAACAACTTCACATTTTCCTGCATTATACTCCATCTTCCAGATTGTTAATCATTAAATTAACCCATTTGTGTCTACATGCTTGTGATGGTTTCTTCAATATACTCACCTACCCATCTTTGTGCCATCTGCAGTCTTCATTGTATCAATGAATTGAATCAAGGCAAACAATAAAATGTTGAAGTCCCAGCACAAACCCCTGTGGTAACTCACTTGTCACATCCTGCCAATTTTTAAAAAATGCCCCTTTTATATGTTGTTTTGTGTCAGCCAGCAAATCATGGATTAATAGAGTCAGAGATGTACAGCACAGAAACAAACCCTTCAGTCCAACTCAACTATGCTGACTAGGTATCCTAAAATAATCTAGCCATCTAGTCATCTGCCAGCATTTGGCCCATATCCCTCTAAACCCTTCCTATTCAAATACCCATCCAGATGCCTTTTAAATGTTGACGTTGTACCAGCCTCCACTATTTCCTCTGGCAGCTCATTCCATACGCGCACCACCTTTTGCATGAAGAAGTTGCCGCTTAGGTCCCTTTTAAATCTTTCCCCTCTCACCTTAAACTATGCCGTCTAATTTTGGACTCCCCTAGCCTGGGGAAAAGACCTTGAATGATCACCCTATCCATGCCCCTCATGATTTCATAAATCTCTATAAGGTCATCCCTTCAAATGCTCCCAGGAAAATAGCCCCAGTCTATTCAGCTTCTCCCTTTTCTGAACGCCTTCTAGTTTAAAAACATCCTTCCTACAGCAAGGAGACCAGAATTGAACGCAGTGTTCCAAAAATGGTCTAACCAATGTCCTGTACAGATGCAACATGACCCCCGAACTCCTATACTCAAGCATTGATGTTAGTGTGTCACTCCTACTTGTCAGCGCCTACTTTACGCAATATCCTTTTATGCATAATCTTGACAAATATCTTCTGGAAATCCAAGTACAGTACAGTTACAATATCCCCTTTATCCACAGCGCATGATATTTCTTCAAAGAATGCCAATAAATTGGTTAAACATGATTTCCCTTTCTCAAAACCATGCCGACTCTTCCCAATTATCTCAAGTTTTTCCAAGTGCTATTGCAAATTATAACGTTTATGATCAATTCAAACATCTTCTCCATGACATAAATCATCTTAGCTGGCCTATAAATTTCCTGTTTACTGCCTCCTGTTCTTTTTGAATACAGGAGTTATATTTGCAGCTTTCAAGTCTAACCTTTCCAGAATATAACAAATCGAATTTTTGGAAAATCAGCACTAATGCATCTCCAACTTCTTAGCCAAACTCTTAAGGCCCTAGAATGAAGTTCATCTGGATTCGAAGAATTATCAAGCTGCAGCTCCATCAGTTTGGTCAGTATCACTTTCTTGGTGATTATAAATTTTACCAAGTTAATCTCTTCCTTCAACCTTCTGATTTATAGGTGTCTTAGTAATTTTTGTATTCTCAATCATCAAGACAGACATAAAATATTTATTTATTTCACAACACCATTTCTTTATTGTCTACTATTAACTCCCCGTTCTCACCTGCTTAAGGATTAACAGTACTGAACTTAATCTTTTCTGGAAATGTATTGAATCACTTGCTGCTTTTTTTCACCCATTTCTAGCTAGCTTCCTCTTGCTCAAAATTCTCTTTCTCCCAATTAACCTTTTAATCATACTCTGTCTTTCTTTATATTCTGACCAGTCATCTGACCTGCCATTGACCTCTGTCCGGTTATATACTTTTTCCTCAAGTTTGATGCTTTCTTTCATTAACCACATATAGTGGGACCTCCACTGGGAACATTTCTTTATAGTAGGAGTGTAGTTAATCTGATTATACTGAAAGATCCTTTTAAATGTCTGCAAGTGCTTCTCCATTGATGTGCCTCCTAGCCTAATATTCCAATTCACCTCAGAAGGGCAGAATCAGCACGGATTTCTGGAAAGAAAATCCTGTTTGGCAAAACTGTTAGAGCTTTTACAGGTTATAACCAGCAGCTAGATAAGAACCACCAGCGGTTGCTGCATATGTGGATTTTCAAAAAGCATCCACAAATAATCACACAAGAGGTTATTGCATAAAACAAGGGCTCTTTGGATGAGGATAATATATTAGAATGGATTAGGATTGGTTAATGGATTGAAAATAAAGGGTAGGAACAAATTAGACATTTGTTAGACAGGATGAGAAAGCGTAACTCAAATCCCACAAGGATCAAGCTTTAGCTGTTTAAAATAAATATCAATCATTGATACCAAAATTGAGAGGTTTGCTAACAATATAAAGTCAAGTGGGAAAGTAAACGGTGAGAATGCATAGAGACTACAAAGTGAGAGACAAAAGGTTAAACAACTGGACAATCATGTTGATGAAATAATGTGAATAAGTGTGAAAATCCACTTTAGTAGGTAAAATAAAGAAAAGCAGTATGAATTTAAATGATAAAAGACTGGGCAACATCGATAATCAATAACGTTCCTAGGGAACTATGTGGCCACAGAGCAACCTCCCCTGTAATGCCTGCACAGGTCACCCATAAATCAGCCTCTTCAAATTACACATGCCTCACTACAAAAAAAATGACTCAAATACATAAATATTTTGCACATGCACTAAAATAAATTTAGGGGGTAGGTTAGTTGTGAGTGTCCTTGTCCACAAAGTACTGAAAGTTAACACTGAAGTACAACAAACAATAAGGAACAAAATTGTATGTTAGCTTAAAGAAGTCTTGCTGTAATTATACAGGTTATTGGTGATACTATATGTGGAGTATTCTGTACAGTGTTGAACTCCTTACCAAAAAGTAGGCTATAATTATCTCAGACGGAATACAACACAGGTTCCTGAGATGGCTAGACTAGGTCCATTTTCCCAAGCATTTCAAACAATGAATGGTGGCAATCTCACTGGGGCATATAAAATTCAAAAGGGGCTTAACAAGATAATTGCTCAGAGGTTAAACAGTTTAGAACTATAGGTCGCACATCCAGAATAAAGGATCAATTATGTAGGACGAGGAGAAGGGGGATTTCTTCAAACAGTTGCAAATCTTTTGAATTCTTTCATATTTCAAAGCGAACCAGGTAATATGGGTTATGTCCAGTTAAATGGAGTTGAGATAAAACATCAGTTATGATGTCACTGAATAGCAGAGATAGCTCCAAGTGCCAAATAGCCTGCTCCTCCTGTTAATTCACTTGATCTTGTGAGAGAAAAAGATCCTAGAACATTAAGTATACCTTAATTTTACATGTTATTAAATCTAAATAATAGGTGGTAGCCATTTGCCTGTTGGTAATACTATACGCGGAGTATTCTATACAGCGTTGAACACTTTACCTAAAGGTTACCTCTGGAACCAAGATTTAAACCCAGCTTATCTGTCTAAAAGCATCCGACTTTTATGCACACAGCATTGAACTATTTCTTAATTTTTTCCATTCACACATTACCTGAATGATAATGCTATGTACGTGTCACTCTGTGTGTGAAGAATGACGTCAGTCCTAGTCTCTGTTAAAGCTTTTCCTTTTAAGCCATTATTCTACAGATACAATCGTGCATTTTTCCTGCCATCTTAATAGAATATTTGTAGTAAATTTTAAATTGCTACTCACCTGTCTGCATAGCGTAAAGTGTTCAGTGTATGTTCTGTGGCTACATGGCTAGGTGAAATATTAGCGATCATACAGGTTTTAGAATTCCCAACAAATGAGTCTTTCAATACCTTAAAAAATGAACAAAAATATTTAGAAATTCAAGTTTTGTATTTACTACCAGAAAAAAATGACTAACTAAAATCATTCACTTAATTTACCATCTTCTGCGTCCCTCCCTTCTTAAAGAGGGGTGTTACATTGGCCATTTTCCAGTCCTTTAGCACCCTCCCTGACTCTAGTGATTCCTGAAAGATCACCACCAATGCCTCCACAATCTTCTCAGCTATCTCTGTCATAACCTTAGGGTGTAGTCCATCCAGTCCAAACGATTTGTCCACCTTCAGACCTTCCAGCTTCCCCAACACCTTCTCCTTGGGGATGGCCACTAGTCACCTCTGCCCCTGACTCTCTTGATGTTTAGATCTGTGACTGTTGTCTTCCACTGTGAAGACTGATGCAGAGTACTTATTCAGTTCCTCTGCCATTTCTCCTCTGTTCCCTATTAACACTGCTCCAGCCTCATTTTCCAGCAGTCAAATGCCCATTCTTGCCTCTCTTATCTTTTAGATATCTAAAAAAATCCTTCAATCTTCTTTTATGCTACTAGCTATTTCATATTTCATCTTCTCTTATTTCTTTTTTCAGTTGTCTTCTGCTGGTTTATAAGGACTTTCTATTCCTGTGGCTTCCCACTAACCTTCACCATACTGTATACATTTTCCTTTGGCTTTTATCATGTCCCTGACTTCCCTCGTCAGCCACGGTTGCATCATTCTCCCCTTTGTGTGTTTCTTCTTCCTTGGGATGAATTTCTGTGATGTCTCCCGAATTAGCCCCAGAAATCCTTGCCATTGCTGTTCCACTGTCTTCCCTGCTAGGCTCCCCTTTCAAACAACTCTGGCCAGTTCCTCCCTCATGTCTTTGTAGTTACCTTTACTTAACGGTAATACATCCGATTCCAGCTTCTCCCTCTCAAACTGCAGGTCGAATTCTATCATATTATGATCAATGCCCCTAAGGGTTTCTTCACCTTAATCTTCACCTTAATATCTGCCTCATTACACATCATCAAATCCAGAACTGCCTGTTCCCTAGTGAGCTCTACCAGAAGCTGCTTCACAAAAACCATCTCATAGACAATCCACGAATTCCTTTTCTTGAATCCACTACCAACCTGATTTCCCAGTCCACCTGCATATTGAAGTGCCCCATGATTACTGTAATAGTGCCTTTCTTACATGCCTTTTCTATTGCTGGATTTCTTTCCTTCCTCACATCCTGACTACTAGGAGGCCTGTACATACATAACTCCTGTCTTTTTTACTTTGCGGTTCCTCAATTCTCCCCACATAGATTCTAAGAATTCCAAACCTCCCAGGTATTAGAACACATAATATAATGATACTCTCATCAACAGTCGAAAAGGTGTCCTACAATTTCTTCAAGAAGGGAATTACTCATTTTAAAAGAAAAATGCTCTTTTTTGATCCATAGTGTTTGATCTATGCAGGATGAGAACATTGCAGCAGCACGTTCCTGACTTCATGCAGATGGACTCTAGTTGCAATTACCACATTGTACAGTGACATAGAAAATGTATTTGTCTCCTTGATTACCTACAAGGGCAGGACTGAATTCATTAAGTTACGTAATTTAAGCAAATTCTTTTGTCTGCACATTTAAATGCAATTAAATTGGCAAGTTACTGCTGTAAATCAGTATACCAATCTACCTTAATGTTAGAAGTACTGTTTCATTTTCCAACATAATTTGATAAGATAAATCAACTGGGAATACACAGCATGCTCTTAGTGCTACAAAGCATACATCAGACATGGCTTTAGGCTTAAGAGGTCAACACTCCACCGTACTTATCATTAATGATGCTTAAAGCACTGGTTTCTGCACTTGAATTCTTGATGTGAATTTCAAACACAAAGTTCCACTCCTAAATCTGTTGTTTGCTGCTACACCTACTGCCTCAAAATAGTCTTCAAAAGATATCTCCAGGAATTCTTTATCTCAAGCTGTCAAACTGATAGCCAAGATTATGAAAGCATCTGCAGATATAAATATGTTGTGAAAGGCTTCCAAAAATTGGGATTGAGTCATTGGTGACAGTTTTGGCTCTTTTTAAAAATGCTAATTGGTGTGAAATGCTAAGTTTAAAGAGGAAAAATAGCTGTATAAATTCTATAAAGAAACAAATAATTTACCAGTGTAAGCTTGCTTTGCCTAAAGGGTGTATGAGGATGCTCCTGGTCCAAAGCTCGAATACACTCTTTTAGCTAAAGAAAGGGAAACAAACATCTTATTGCAAAATATGGAGAACTTTGATACAAGTAAAATATCACATTTGTTCCATGTTCTGATCATCTTTCTTGCAAGTGAAAGAGTTTCATAGTTTGTCAATATAAATTATGTATAAAACTACATTTCACCTTGCCCCATCATTTCCACTGCGGAATGACAGTTATCTTCTTTTAGTCAGGACATAAGTTTGACAAATCTCATGTCTTAATGTGTATGTGTGTTTATGTTATATATATAAATAAAATAATAGAGAGAGAAAGAGAGAGGGCGAGGGGTGGGAGAGAGAGAGAATGGCTCCCTGGAATCCCCCCAAACCTCCCGCCATCATTATTACTTTGGTTTGTATCCTTCCTGCAGGAACCACAGACTGCCTTGTGGCACTGCTGAGCGCAAAACCTGCCAGCCTCTGATTAGTCAGCACCTCTCAGCATGTGAGACTTAGGGTCATAGAGTCATAGAATTGAATTGAATTAGCTCTGTTGTCACATCTACTCAGATGAATATACTGAAAAGTTTACAAGTCGCCACTTACAGTGCCATCTTAGGTACAAAGGTATCTAGGTACAGATTCTTCAGTACAAGTTCATAGGAAAATATAAAAGTAGAAAATAAAGAAATAAAAAGTCCAGCTTGCAGATTGTGGGAATAAATTTAGAAAAGAGGAGTTAGAAGTTCAAAACAATGGTCCTTCCAACCCATCCCACACTGGCACCGAGCCTCCAGTGTGTGCCAGGCCATGGCCTCAGACTGTGCTGGACTTCACCTCAAGGTTCTTGAGGCGAGGAGACTACTCTGGAATGACCTCAAGACTGGAAGTCCATACTGATGCCACAACGGCCTGACAGACCATCAGGCCGGGCATGTGTTAAAGGCAGGAGTCCAGGGCCGTGCTGAGGCAGGGAGTCCGAGGCCAAGAAGAAATAAAAAAGAAAAGAGTACAAACACAAAGGAGAAGAATAAAAGGGAAAAAAACCAAACAGATGGAGTGAACGATCTCGAGCTGAAGCACTCTTCTCCTCCGCATCTTGAATAATAAGTTGTACAGCATGGAAACAGACCCTTCGATTCAAATTGTCCATGCTGACCATATATCCTAAATTAATCTAGACCCATGTGCCAGCATTTGGCCCATGTCCCTGTAAAGCCCTCCTATTCAAGTACCCATCAAGATGCTTTTTACGTGCTGTAATTGTACCAGCCTCCACCACTTCCTCTGGCAGCTCATTCCATGTACGCACCATCCTCTGCATGAAAAAGTTGCCCCTTATGTCTCTTTTACATCTTTCTCCACTCACCTTAAACTTACGCCCTCTAGCTTTGCTCTGCCCTACCATGAGAAAAAGACCTTGGCTATTCTGCTTCAGGGTCTTGATTTCACAGCAAGGCCTGCCAGTGGCCTCACCATTGCATGACTGGTTTGTCGTTCAGCTAGCCTTCCATAAAGAGACAGCACAGATAATTGTCTTTTCGGACTAGTTGGTAAGACCCTCCTCAAAGCTTCAATACAATTTAATTCACAATTTCCAATCTCTGCTGCCCAGATATCCTTTACATTCTCACCCTCAATAGGACCCTACTCCACAACCTACTTTGGAGTTGATGGGAGACCTCTAGTTTCAGCAATTGTGAGCTGCCCAAAAATGGGCATTTGGTAGGGAGCAATAAAATGGACAGCTAAAAAGCAGAAAGATCTCACACTAAGGCAAAAACCAGTTGTTTCTCTGTGGTTTCTTTTCAGTAGTTAAGATAGTTTTCTTCATTACATTATTGTACAGTTCAGCATTAATACAATCCATCTCCTGGTTAATTGTACTCTTTTAAATATGAAATAACTGCATTCTATAGTAACATCCACCTGTATAAACAACTTACAGCCAAGAGACTCTGATTTATTTCAGCTCCTTCTATTTTAGTTTGTTTGTCGGAATCCCTGGCATCAGCAGCTCTCTCACTCCCAGCTAGGTCAATGAAAGAAATCCTGGGCAGAGAATCAGTATTAGTCGAAAGTTATATTTAGTGTGAACATGAATAGATAAAGACTCTTGGTTTGCAGTGAAGACCAATATTTTCTTGATTTTTTAAAAATGCTTTTTATTGATGTGGTGCTCAATCAATGCCCTTCTCCTATTACCCTAACAACCAGGTACTTAATAGGCCACCTCCGATGGTATTAAGAATGAAACACAGTAAGTGTAACTGCAGTTTCATGTAGCCATGGATTGCAGTAGCAAGTTCCTTTTCCTAAAGGGCATCCAGGTTTACTGATTGTCTGAAAACCCAATCTTATAATTTTCAAGTCAATTTTTTTTTAAAAATTAATAACGCTAGACCACAAATTATTAGTTCAATTGAATTCAATTTTACAAATGTAGGACTTGAAGAAGTCTAAACCTCCGAGTACAAGTCTATCCCAGTAGTACTAAACCAATAGCAAGAGATTGTATTTTTTCATTATTATGGTCTTCTGATAGCATACTGTATCATTGCAATGTCTAGTGGATCCAGCTCTTCAGATTGTTAACTTATTTGAAATGCAAATAAGAACATTTTACCTTCCAACAATTGTATTGTTTAGGTTTTTAAGCTGGATTTGAATAATAGCATGTGAACGTGAGGAATCTGCATTTATCCCGGAAGCACCAGTACTCCGTGCTTTACTGCCCCAAGAAATCACCTGAAAGGAGATCAAAGCAAACTGAAGAAATCAAAGAATTTACACATGTTGTAAAACTTCAGATCAAAATACACACAGAAGTAATTTACGGAGGTTTTGGTTGTTAGTTATGTTAAAGTATTTAGTTTACGAGAATCATAGAATAGAATCGTAGAATTCCTACAGTGTGGAAGCAAACCATTTGGCTCATCGAGTCCACACTGACCCTCTGAACAGCATCCCACCCAGACCCAACCCCCTATCCCATCCCTGTAACCTTGCATTTCCCATGACTAACCCATCTAGCCTGCATATCCCTTCACACTCCAGTCAATTTAGCATGGTTAATCCACCGAGCCTTACAGCTTTAGACTGTGGGAGGAAACTGGAGTACCCAGAGGAAACAGATGCAGACATAGGGAGAAGGTGCCAACTCCACATAAACCACCTGAGGGTGGAATTCAGCCCAGGTCTGTGGCAGTACTAACCGCTGAACCACTGTCCCCTTCACAGATTGGTTTTTTTCCCCTATTGGTTACAGATTTTGAATGTGAAATTATAATTTGTTTACATTTTATGGAGTTTTTGTTTTTGTGAAATCTTGAGTAACTATAGACCTGTCAAATGATGTCCGCAGCACATGCGCAGACATTCAGGTCAAGTCGAGCCAGATGTCATATTCGTGAGGTTCTTGGCACATGTGCTGTGAATGCTCACTGGGAGTATTTAGAACAGGTAATCCTGTCATCAATCAGCACAGAAAGCCAACTTGATACCACCAGTGCCATTCTTAATATTATGAGCTTAATATTCCAGCTGACACCCTCTCCTAACCAAGCACAGCTGAATAAGTACTCAACAGCAAAAATGGATGCTATACCAATGCTGCTTAGAAAGGATAATTAATTATTTGCAGGTCAGATGTGGTTGATGTAATATGCTTGTTGTATCAATTATGTAAGTGTTTGGTACTCTATTATTGTTTAAAGTTGCAAAAATTTGCAGTAAGTATTGTGGCACATGTTCAAGAATTATTTGCCGACTTCAGAGTTCCGGGCCAACCAATTCTTCTCAACCATGGTTGCAGTTTTGGCAATCCCCTTGATTTGGAGAATGAACGGAGGCTACACACAGCAAGACAAACTGTTGAAAGAGAGAGAGGAATAACTCGCAAAAACAGAACACGTCCACCCAGACTATTCAGAGAACAGAGAACCTCATGGAGGGACAGTGTGTCAGTGCGAGGGTCATTATTCATGGAGATAAAGGTGACTGCGGTGATGAGTGATCTGACTGATTCCAAACTGGAACTAGAGGCAGTGAAGACATTTCACAGTGTACTGCAAAGAAGGTCACGGAGACACATTACTCAGTGACATCCATGCAGCAACCCATTGCCCTCATTTGCACCTCCAATAAGAGAATATTTATCATGTACATCTCAGACACAAGGCTAGTCTCTTGGCCACATCCATCTCCTCAGGGGTCACAAATATTAGTTGGCGAAAGCAGAAGTTGGATCAGTGGAGACTTCGCCACTAGTAAAGTCGGGGGAGGCAACGGCCTAGTGGTATTATCACTGGATTGTTAAAGCAGTGACCCAGTTAATGTTCTGGGGACCTGGGTTCAAATCCCGCCATGGCAAATGGTGGAATTTGAACTCAATAAATATCTGGAATTAAGAGTCTAGTGATGACCATGAATCCATTGTTGATTGTTGGAAAAACCCGTCTGGTTCACTAATGTCCTTTAGGGAAGGAAACTGCCATCCTTACCTGGTCTGACCCACAACAATGTGGTTGACTCTTAACTGCCCTCTAGGCAATTAGGGATGGGCAATACATGCTGCCTAGCCAGCAACGCCATCATTCCATGAATGAATAATGAAAAATAAAATTTGTCTTTCACAGCACAATGTAAATATTGACCGTAAGGTCTGACATATAAACCTCCTTTCATTATTGGCAAAATAGGCTGGTAGACGCTATGCTGAAAGTGCTAGAAACGCTAGAAGGGTGAGAAACCCTTGAAGAGCCAGAGCACATCTTGACCACGCTCCCTGAAATTTGCAATAACCCAATAGCACCCAATTCCCAATGGCCAAGTTCCCCTCTGTGTTGTTCATTATTTCATGGGGGTTCACTGACTTCCCTGGGGTGGCTATAATTGGCTTCTAATTGTACTACACCTCCTTGCACCTTGTCTGCCTCTGCATGTGCAAACACCCTTCGAATCCACAAAATCCCCCACAACAGGCTCTATATGGGCTCATGAATAACTTTAATTGCAGTGGATGATTGGTTGCTTGGAGCGGTGGGGTCACACACCCTCATCACCTCAGTGAAAATCATTGCCACTGGAAACGGCATCAGAAAATAAGCACACAGACAATTTCATCCCCATTGAACATTGTTTTGCCCCCATTGGCAGCTGAAAATTCATCCCATTAACCCTACTTCTCCATTCATAGATGCTGCCCGATTGACTGAATATTTCCAGTGTTACATGAAAGAATCTGAGATGCTCCTGTATATCTTCCACTTGCTGTATGATATCCTCATAGTTGCATTAATGTACCCTCAAGTAAAAATGGTGCATGCCACCAATAAAAAGGAAGAAATTACATGAAAATGGGGTACTGAACTAATAATCCATACACACAGGCTAATGGTCTAAGAAAATGGGTTCAAATCCCACTATGGCAGACGGTTGCATTGAATCCAAATCTGGAATTTTAAAGAAAATCTTGCCTAACGGTAACCATGAAACCCTGGTCAATTATTGTCAAAACTATCTGGTTCATTAATGTTCTTCGAGGAAAATCCGGTCTACATTCAGCTCCAGATAGCTCCCTGTCGGCTGCTCTGGCCCATTGCTTTACCAACCCAACCTCACCCCTTACCTTGGATCCTGAGTAATGTCCATGATCTCCACACAACATGTTATCCCAGCAGCAGCCACCTGGTGTTACTTGGAAGTGGTATTGCTACCATTTAAGGGGCAAAAGATCCACATGACTGAGGGACACAAAATGATATCAGACTCCCAGAAACAGCCAAGATGGCAATGTTCTAGGTTGTCTGCAATAAGTTAATTGCATCCAATTCTGACATTGCTATTTAGGAATGATGTGGAGGCTTTAGAGTAGCTGTGGAAGAGCCTTTTTTTCAAAAAGGCTCATTCATGGGTTGTGGGCGTTGCTGGCTGTGACATTTATTGCCCATCTCTAATTTCCCTTCAGGCAGTTAAGATCCAACCACGTTGCCAGGGATCTGGAGTCACATGTACAGAGTCACATGTACACAAGATGAGATATGGACAGTAAATTTCCTCCCCTGGAGAACATTACTGAGCCTGACAGGTTTTAACAACAATCAATAGTGGTTACATGGTCAATATTAGGTAAACTTTTTAATTCTAGATTTTTATTGAATTCAAATTTCATCATCTCTCACGACGTGAGTCAAACCCATGTCCCCAGAACATTTGCCTGGGTTTTGGATTACTGGTCCATTAGAATAGTCCCAGGGATTAGGAACTCCTATTGTATGCATGGATTGGAGGAGCAGGGGTTGTTCTTATTAGAGTAGAGAATGTTATTTGATAAGGTAGTGATAAGATTTAATAAGAAGTGTTCAAAATCATGAGACCTCCAAATAGAACAGAGTCAAAATCCTGGAACGCCTTCCCAATGGGCACTGCGGGTCATCCTTCAGCACATGGACTACAGTGGTTCAAGAAGGCAACTCATACGACCTTCTCAAGGGCAACTAGGAACAGACAATGGTCCAGCCAACAATGCCCACATCCCACGAGTGAATAAAAACTGTTCTCATTGGTGAAAGAGTTTAGAGCCAGAGGACAGAATTTAAAGGTGATTGGCAATGATGAAAAGCTTTCCTCCCAAGCGAGTGGTCATGATCTGAAATGCATACCTCAAAGGATGATAGATCTAAATTCAATCATGATTGTCACAAGGGCATCAGATAAATACATGAAATGAAATATTTTGCAGAGCAACTATGAAAGGATTGGGAATGGGATTGCTTTAGCAAGAACTCAGCATGGGCTGAATGGGTGCACTCAGTGCTGTTATAAGTCTAAGAATTTGATATTTTAACAACGCAGTCTCTTCCATACCACCTGATTTGACCAGTTTTCCAAAACAACTTTCGACTCACTTTCCTACATTGCAACATTTCACAAGTACTTCTTCAGTTATGAAGTCCAATGGGACATCCTGAAGTTGCACAATAAAGGTGACATATAAAATACAAGTCACTCTTGATCAATGCTCATTAAGTCAAAATAAACCTGTTGCTCATGTTTATGGAAACTATACTGTTATATTAAAATACTTAATGTTTTCATATTTAATTACCTCTAACAAAGATTGCACTGCATCCACTTGAATTTCACGCAATCCCACAATTTGTACTGTATGGTTGCCATCTTCCCTGGCAAATAGTCTAGAAATGAGAATATGTAAAAGTCGTAAATGAATAAATACAATTACATGGTTGCTTACTTCCTAAACAAAGAATATCCACCAAATGTTTCTGCAGAATAGTACTTCAGTTACTTTATAATATATCACAGTTCTACAGCACACAGTGCAAAGTGAAAATCTTCTTTCTGAAACATTTGCTAAGTCATCCATTGGACAAATTAGTACACACTTATGTCTGTACAAAAGAAGTTTTGACTAGCGCTGGTGAGATTATAAGTGTGAATGCTGATACAATGTGAAACAAACAGGAGCCCCATGAAGTCCAAAAACATCCAGTGCAAAACTGTTCTTACACAAGCAAATTAGCAAAGATAATTAAGCTTTTTTTAAGTCAAAGCTATCACACATGGAAGCTCACCAAAAAGAGATCATTCAACCAATCATTCAGAGGTCTCCTATTATCACGTAATATTTCACTACACCAAATTTCATCTGCCATTTATCCACTCACCTTGCACAATCTGTTTGTAATTTCTTGTACTTTCGTATAGGCTTCTGCATTATTTGTAGTATAGGAAATTTTGTTTTAACTGTCACCTTATGAACTTGCACTCTAGATAAACCGGCAAAAATTTTATACCTGAAATACTGGAAGTTTAATGTATTATTGCAATCTCCGCGTTGTCCAAATAGTTAGTTGAGGGTGCAAGTCAGAAGGCTCGCTGCCAATAAGTTTTATTTAAGGCAAAGTTGCATTACTATTTAAGTGATTTACGGTGTAAATAAAGTATAACAGTGATGTGTATATCCTCTGTAAGGTTTCTATTACTTAGTACGTGCTTTTACATTGATTATGTGGATCTCATGATCAACCAGAATATTTGATCAACTGCTACCCTCTCGTCCCATAGGTGCTTGTTAATAAAAACCTTGCTGCACATCCAATTTATTTTCATCCATACATTTCAACAGAATTCCTCCCAATTTTCAGCTAAACAATATATATATTAAATGCTGGCCTTGCTAGCAATACTCAAACCCCATGAAAGAATAAAAAAAAGTCACTGTGTGACTTTCTAAAATATGATTTTGTACAACATAATATCAAAAATGCCAACAGCCATTTTTTCTAAAATGATAGTTATACCACTATTGAATCCTAACTAACATTACAATATATAAATAATTCAATAGTGCCTTCAAATATAGTTACATGATCATACCTTTTTCGCATATTGAGCAAGTCATATAGTTGGCCACAATATATCTCATAGAAGCTTATCCAGATGAAAAGAGCTCTGTCTTGCTCAGATGTCTGCAAGTGCATGAAGATGTCCTCAGCAGCAAGCGCATAAAGCCCTGGATTTTGATCAGTTCCAATCATAGTATAAGTTTTTCCAGCTCCCGTCTGTCCGTAAGCAAAACATGTTGCCATACCACTAAAGGAGATAAAATTAGTAAAAATAAAGAAAAAAAAGAGAAAACATAAATTCACACAGGTTGTGTTTTTGTTTACCAAGTATGAACTGCACACTCCCATCCCACAGAGGCACACCTAATGTGCTCACTTCAACCTCACGCTTAGCACTGGTTTGATAAATCATGCATAACTAACAATAGGATTCCTCATCAGTGCTGTTGAAGGCTAAGGTCCATAACAAGGACACAAGAGATAACAAGTCGAGTTGACCATATGGTCTCAGGCTGTAACTCCACTTTATGCCCACTCCCCAGATCTCTCAACAACTGATACACCAAATATCTATCTATCTCAGCCTTAAATATACTCATACATGGAGCATCCACAGCATTCTGAGGTAGAGAATTCCAAAAATATACAACTCTTTGAGCCAAGATATTTTCCATCATCTTGGTCCTAAAATATTGTCCAATTATCAAGGAACTGTCCTACTTAGAGTCATAGAGTCCTACAGGATGGAACCAGACCCTTCAGTCCAACCAGTCCATGCCAACCATATTCCCAAACTAAACTAGTCCCACTTACCAGCATCTGTGCCATATCCCTCCAAACATTTCCTATTCGTGTACTTATCCAAATATCTTTTAAATGTTGTAAATGTACTTGCATCCACCACTTTTTCTGCAATTCATTCCACACATGAACCACTCGCTGTGTAAAAAATTTGCCCTTAATGTCCTTTTAAAACTTTCTCCTCTCACCTTAAAAATATGCCCTCTAGGGGACGGTGAACAGCTTGGAGGGGAACTTACAGATGGTGGTGTTCCCACCTGTATGCTGCCATTGTCTTCCTAGATTGTGGGCTTGGAAAATGCAGTCTAAGGAAACTTGGTGGATTGCTGCAGTTCATCTTGTAGATGGTACAGACTGATGCTGCTAAGCATCAGTGTGGAGGGAGTGGATGTTTGTGGATATGATGTCAATCATATTGGCTGCTTTGTACTGGGTGGTGTCAAGCTTCTTGAACGTCATTACAGCTACACTCACTAAGCAAGAGGGGAGATTTTCATCACACTCCCAAATTGTGCCTTGTGGACAGGCTTTGGGGAGTCAAGAGACGAGTTACCAAGCTGTGACCTGTTCCTGTAGCCACAGTATTTATATGGCTAGTCCAATTCTGGTTCTGGTCAATTGTAATGGGAGATTCAGTAACGGTAATGCCAAAGAATGTCAAGGTACGATGATTAGATACTCTCTTGTTGGAAATGGTCATTGCCTGGCAATTGTGTGGTATGAATGTTGCTACATTTGGATATGGCCTGCTCAGGCATTTGAGGAGTTGTGAATGGTGCTGAACATTGTTGATGACTGTACATCACCACTTATGGTAAAGGGAAGGTCATTGATGAGGCAGCTGAAGATGGACGCACTGATAATAACCTTCCAAGTGCAACCATCTGCAGACACTTTCTTTAAAACCTAAGTTGCAACCCATAAGGTACAGGGAATTTATCGGCCTTTAGCCTCATTAGTTTCCCTCGTATTATTTCTCAAGTGATTGTTATTGTATTTATTTCCTCTCCCCTTAGCTCCTTGATTATTTAGTACTTTTGGAAGGCTTTTAATGTCCTCTACTATGAAGATTGATACAAAGCATTTATTCAACTCCTCATAGTTAACATAGTTAACTATATGGATTATGGCCCTTGAATCTCTTCTCACTGGGATATATTTTTATTGTGAGTCATGAATTATTTTCTTTAATGCCTGCCATTATTTCTCAACGGTGTTTTCTGATAAGCTTCTTTCCGAGTCCACTCCAGCCAGCTCAGCCCTCATCCCCACCTAATTACCCTTATTTACATTTAGCACATTTGTTTCTGACCCAAGTTTGTCACTCTCAAACCAAATTCTAAATTGTACCACATTATGATCAATGTTCCCTACGGGATCGCTCACTCACTTACTGAACCTGCTTCCCTACACATTACCAGATCCAAAATGGCCTAATCCCTGGTTGGATCACAACATATTGTTCTAGCATATGTCCTGAATACATTCTATGAATTCTTCCTCGTGGCTACCTTTGCCAATTTGATTTCTCCAACGTACATAGAGATTAAAGTCACCCATGATTAGTATAACGCTTTTTTTAATATTCCCTCATTATGTCATGATTTATTCTCAGTCCTACAGAACAGCTATTATGAGGGGTTCTATAGACTATTCCCACCAGTGCCTTCTTTCCCTTGTTATTTCTCATCTCCGCCCTTATGGATTCGATATCATCCGATCAAAGATCACTTCTTGCTATCTTACTTATTCCATCCTGTACCAACAATGCTACACCAACACCCCCTCTTTCCTTCTGAGAAGTGACATTCTCCTGACTATTTAATTCAAAACATTTATACTATTGTAACCATATCTCCATAATAATTATAATTCATACTCAATAACTTCTATTTGTGCCATTAATTAATTTCTTTTCTTCTAACTACTATGTGTATTTAAGTAAATCATTGTTAGTTTTGCGTTTTTACCATTTTTTCCCCTTTGTTGCTGTTTACTTATGCTTGCACACTTGTAATGTATAGTGAAGTAGGATAATTGAAGGACCTCACAAGATCCTTTATGCAAAAGAGATCATAACAATAGAATTCCCCTTCAGTTTGATAATGAGAAATCTGAGTGCCTACTCAGAGGTTAAAGACGTATACTAAGAGATAAAGTTAAATAAAGGCAATTACAAGACAATGAAGACAGGGTTAGCTTAAGTGGGCTGGAAAAACCAGCCAAAAAGGATGAGAGTGGAGATGCAATGACAGACATTTAAGAACATATTTCATAACTCTCAACAAGAAAATGTCCCATGGAAGAAGAAAGATTGCTAAAAGAGTGTATCAACCGGATAACTAAGAAAATTAAGAATAGTATCAAATTGAAAGAAATGATTTACACTGTTTCAAAGATGGGGTGGAGAGAGAGAAGAAAAGGGAAGACAGAGGGCAAGAATGATTAAATGACAAAAGGTTTCATGGTGCAAGGTTGTTTGTCCTATTTCAACTCCTTTTGTCTATGTTCCATAATTTCACAACATAACTAAAGTCTATCATCCCTGCTTTCATTCTAATAAATCTCTGCTGACCTTCACTAAAACATTATTTCTAAAAGTGTGATGCCTAGCATTGAGCGCAATACTCCAGCTAATTTGTACTGCCACCTTCAAAGATTTCTGGACACAAACTTGCAGATTCTTAGATCTTCCTGTAAATTGAACCATTTTGCTCACATTACCTCCCTTCATTCATTCCAAAATGCTAGACTTCACACTTCTCTATATTAAGTCTCATCAACCATATGTTTGCCCATTTCATGAGTACATATGTCCTTCAAAGTTGGTTACTTTCATTCTCGATGTTTACGACTTTTTCAAGTTTCATAATGGCTGGTTATTGGACTCTATGGAAACGTCTCTATACTTTTCTGCCTAAGGGTACCAGAAGACATGCATAAGCAGAAGAAATTACATCAGCATAGACTAGGTTAGGCAATAGGAAGTGTGGGCAGCACCGTACAGTCAAGAGGGTGGACATGTCGCCAAGCAGCACTGATATTTCAATGTCACACTTACAGCATGTGCTTATGTGGCAAACATGCTGCATGTTCTTTAAGCAAACAGTCATGCCTGAAATTCAAACGGGAGCAGTTTTTACTGAGATCAAGGTCATACAGGAACAAGCGATGTGGGTGAGCTGTCCCATGATCTTGTAGACAGCACAGAAGGCAGGAAGATTTTGCAGTTTTGAAGGACAAGATGAGCGAGAGGACTCGAACAGACATGATGCATCCTTCAGTGAGAATTGTAGTCCATCAGTCTTGGTGAAAGGCATGTATTATAGCAGAATTTAGAGTGAATGACAGCCCTGTGAGTGTGAGGTAGCAGAGACCTTTATGGAGAACAGAAGATCATTAACCTTCATCCTGCACTGCTGTGCACTGCTTTTCACTAAGAACACAGCACCAACCTGGTCTCAACCTGTGACAAGGCTAGCAGGGTAGGTTTGATGACACAGCCTTCCTTGCTGGTCTGCAGGGAAAAGGACGACCCTCACATCCAACCCACCAATACTTCCAAGTCCACGAACCAAGGGGCTAACTTGCCCTTCTGCACATGTCCTCAGTGATGACTGATGAACAGCAGTCCTGGCTTGCAGTGTTTAAAGTGCTATGGAGCCAGGGTTTAAACATGGTGCGAGCAACAATCATTTCCACCCCTCTGCCATATCATTCCATAAGACAAATGTTAGTTACATAATTAATAAGATGAAGAAAGGAAGGTTTTGTGAGAAAAGTCAATACAGGCATAGCAGATCAGCTGCCATGAATCTCACTTGAAAAAACACATTTGCCTGAAAATGGCAAAATTAAGCCCACTATTCCACAGTTCCAAACCTCCAGAACCACTCTGAGTGCTCCAAAACCAATGACCAAAGCTTTCCCAAAATTCCACATCCCAGTTCTTTTTGCTCACTCCACCCCACATTATAAGTTTCCCAATACTCCCATACCTTAAACACTCTCCAAACTCTATCACCATTCCAATCTAGCACTTCACATTCCTACTGATATACATGCAGTGTACTTTGCTTTCTATACATTAGAAAGGTAATCATAAGATACATAATGAATTCTAACACTTTAAATAATAGTAACAGCCTCAAATTCACAATTTCAGAGAAATACAAAGAGGTTCACTTCTTTTGAGTTCTAATTATGTGTTCACATCTTCAGAGCACTTTAACAAAGGTACTGTAATTATTCAAGCACAAAAAATTCTTTACCTTGTTCATACATTATGCCCAGCATAGCTTCATAGCGTTGAACAGCACAAGACCAAATTAAATCCATTTATACATGTAGGAAAGCAAATGATAGCAACAATGATGAAATAAAAGTGACATACCCACTGAAAACATGTTGGATGAGGGGGTAAGCAGTCTTCAAGTACACATCATAATTGGTACAAGTCTCCTCAAATGCTTCATCAAAATAAAAAACATGCTGAAAATGAACGACAAGACTGGGTTTAATTTTGAAAAATAAAAATGAGAAATGTGAAATGGTCAGCGAAAAGGATTTCTATCTAAAAATGATAGCATTCATAAGTATGAGATCCTACAGCTGATAATTAGTGGGAGTGGGATGCCACTTTCCTTCCCACAGTCCAAAGATGTGCAGGCTAGGTGGATTGGCCATGCTAAATTGCCCGTAGTGTTCAGGGATGTGTAGGTTAGGTGGGTTATAGGGGGATGGGTCTGGGTGGGATGCTCTGAGGGTCGGTGTGGACTTGTTGGCCGAAGGGCCTGTTTCCAAACCGTAGGGATTCTATGATTTTAGCACAACTCCTATGATCTACCTAAAATGACAACAGTCCTATGAAAGGGAGATTTCATTTTCTGCTTGCTTTGTTCAATCAACAAGTCAAACATATTTTGGTCATCACTCTGGCTTTTCTGAGGCCTCAACTAAGATCCTAGTGGACCAAAAGAATATCTCCTTTAAATAACAGCAATAGCATCCTGAAAGTAGAAAGGAACTAGACCTGATGAGAGATAGCTGGAAGGGTCAGTGCTCACTAGTGTGTCACGGAACATCTAGCTTGAATCAGGAAGAAATTTGATGTTTGGAAGAACTGCATGTGAGAGCGAATTCATCACTTCTCAAAAATTTCATCTCAGCCTTCCCTTGCCAGTCTCAATTTCTTAGCTCCACCATAACTTGCATCATTAGCTGGACCTCTTTCTCATTTTAACCACACTCAAAGTCTTCCTATCTTCTCTTCACACCATTATTTTTGAACATCCTAACATACTCAATACTATACATACCCCTCCTTCTTCACTTCACAATTCCCTTGGCATTCATCAACACCAACACTCATCTGTATTCCATCTTGCTTCTCCTTCTTCTCCATCTCAAACACAAGCTCAACAAATCTTCACACAGTTTCCCAATGGTTACACTCTATCTCTTATCCTATCTTTCCATAGGAGGAGAGCAAAGGGTACATTTTCATGCCCTGACAGATGTGGGAATGGAGTCACGAAACCTGACATCTTTAAGCTTTCACTCACAGAAAGGATTTGCCACTCCTTTCTTGACCCTATTTGTATTCAGCATTTTTGCGGGTGTGGAATGTCTTGTGTCACTTTCCATGTCTGCTGATATCAATGTTGCTATTATAAGAAGTGCAGAAAATTTATCCTTCCCCAATGTACAGTATTTTCATTTGCACTAGCATATTTTGTGAATATTATAAAGAGGAGGTCAACCCCACACTGATAAATAAAATCAAAACACCCAGAGAGGCGAACCGCACCCTACAATCTGTTAAAAGAGCCCCCAGTCTGTTATAAAGGAGTGGTTAAATAAAGTAAACTCCTGACACTCTCCTCATTATCAACCTGTAAAAACTTATTTTCTAACTCTAACGGTGAACAAACTAACTAAACTATTAACGAACCAAATGAACCCCTTCTAACTACTAACTATTCCTGAATAAAACAAGATTATAATGGTATGTTGTGCCAATAAATGCAAATCCAACTCATATAAAAAAAATTAGAATTTAGTTTCTCAAAATTACAGCCAGGTTACATTTTCCGGAATGTTCTGCGTCTTCTCCAATGAATTCTTCCATCAAGAATGCCTTCTCTGTAGAATTCTTTTGTCTGGAACATTAACTATTTGTGCTGGAGGTACCTTTAATTTAGGTGAAGCCTACTCTAAGGCTTAGAGAATTCTGTGAGAGCCTGTGATTCTTTCTTTTAGAGCTGAGAGCTGTTCTCTTTGCAGATGACAGTTGGCTCTCCCCCAATTTTCCAAATGCCCTCATCTTTTATACTCATGATGACATATCAATTTCTTACAATAGGATTGGTCCTATGTTGTCAAAACTATCAGATTTAAATTTAATTGGTTTTTGGTATCTAAGGGCCTGGTTTAAATTAATTGGCTAAATTCGAAAAACTGTTGTCTTTGTAAAAATTCTGCTTTGCCTGCTAACAGTATTGTCTTTTGCTACAAATGTTATAATTCAGGTGCTCTGCACCCTGAAAACCCACAGATATCTTTCTGAATCCCTAAGCATAGAAAAAACACATTTTTCAAAGGGACTACACACTGCTTTCCCCATAGCATTTTACAAATACCAACATTTTACAAACACCAAATTCTAATGTCCCGTTTTCCAATCCACAAGTACTCTACCCAACTTCGCAACAGTGAACAAGTTAAAAAAATGCTTTCCATCAAATTACGACCACTTCTTCTAGATCTAGAAGGATGTTGAATTATTGTGGAATATCATTATTGTACCTTTTACTTTAACTTTTAAGAAACATTTCAATATCTCTCTGCAAACTGTTTTCATGTCCCTCACAGCTTGCCCTTCTATGTATTTTTTTAATGTCATCTGCAAATTTGGCTATACTGCATTTGCTTCCTTCTCCAAGTCATCAATATACATTATAAACAGTTGCGGTCCCAGCACCAATCTCTGTGGTTGTTATCAACCTGAAAAGAACCCCTAATTCCCACTCACTGTTGCCTGCCCATTAGCCAATTCTCTATCCATGCCAATATACCACCTCCAAGACCATGGGCTCTTATCATAAGCTTTTATGAGGTACCCTCTCAAATGCCTTTTGGAAGCCCAAATACACACATCTACTGGTTCCCCTCCATCTACTCTGGTTGAGACTTCTTTGAAAAACTCTAATAAATTAGTCAGACGCAAATTTCCTTTCATGAAGCCAAGCTGACTCTGCTTGATTAGATTATGATTTTCCAAATGTGCTGCTATTAATTTCTTCATAATTGAATCCAACACTTATCTAACCACAAATGTTAGGTTAATCAGCCTATAGTTATCTGTTTTTTGCTTCCCTCTCTTTTTTAATAGGGGTCTCACATTAGCAGTTTTCTAATCCTCCAGTACTTCTCTAGAATCTGAGGATTTATGGAAAATTGGAATCAATGCATCTGTAGCTAATTTTTCTAGGATTAGCGGATGCATGCCATCAGGGCCTGGGAATTCCTCTCACACTTTCTCAATCTTTCTAATTTGCTTCTTCACTCCCCCTCTGAAACTTACATACGTAGCATAGTTCTCAATTGTATATCTACCTCTTATCTGATTTGAACATATTTTTTCTGTTTCACCTTAATTTCCATCACTTTCAGTATCCACGGAGCTCAAGATTTGTTTGCCTCCGCTTGCCCTTTTGTGAGCATATGCCTCAACTGTAGTTGAACTATTTCAGAGATAGTAGGAACTGCAGATGCTAGAGAAGGCATCCTTAGAAGAGGCTTCGCAGTGGGGTTAAAATTGTTTCAGAGATAGTTGGTGTTAAAATTGCTTCAGAGATAGTTTTTCTGAAGAAGGGTTTACGCCCGAAACGTCAGCCTTCCTGCTCCTCTGATGCTGCTTGGCCTGCTGTGTTCATCTAGCTCTACACCTTGTTATCTCTGCAGTTGAACTATTTCTTCTTTCAATTACAGCTACATTAAATAGTTTAGTTACAGTTTGCTTGCTAATCTTTGACTTTAACATACCTGGGCTAGATCTATTCTTACCCCATTAAAATTGATTTTCCCTCAATTAATCATTCTCACTCTGCATTGTTCCTGGAACTTTTCCAAAGCCAATCTAAATGTTATGAAACAATGATCTGCGTCCTGTAAATATTTCCTTAATTTGGCCCACCTCTGCTAGGAACTTGGTCTAGCAACATCTTTTCATATTTGGATTGGACTGCTAAAGAAAACTCTCCTGAAGACACTTGAAGGTACTGTCTAAAAAACCCTAGGTGCATTTATGTGGTGCACATTGTATTTGGCTCCCAATGCTGCTACTGAGCATGAGTGGTAATGGGATGGATGTGGTGCCAATGAAGTAGAGTGCTTTGTCCTGAAATGGTATCAAGCTTCTTGAGCATTGTTGGAGCTACACTCAACCAGGTAACTTGGGAGCATTCCATCACACTCCTGACTTTTAACTTTGTAGATAACATACAGGCTTTCGGAAGTCAGGAGGAGAGTTACTCACTACAGATGTCATGAAAATTGGTAAGATGGCAAAGAGTGAAGAAGAAAGCCATAGATTACAGGACGATCCAGTTGGGCTGGTTGAGTAGGCAGAACAGTGGCAAACAGGTTTTAGTTCAGAAAAATAGGACATCTGATCTGCACTATATTTATTTGCAAGTCCAATTCAGTTTCTAGTCACTTGATATTGGGTAACACCATTGAATGTCAAGGTAATGTGGTTAGATTGTGTCTCATTGGAGATGGCCATCACCTGGCATTTGTATAACACGAATGTTACTTGCCACTTATCAGCTCAAGCCAGGATAGTGTCCAGGTCTTGCTGCATTTGGACATAGACTGCTTGAGCATCTGAGGAGTTGCGAATGATGCTGAATACAGAGCTATCATCAGTGAATATTCCCAGTTCCAACCTTATGATGGAGGGAAGGTCATTGATAGAACAGCTGAAGATGGTTGTGGCTAGGATAGGTTTAGATTGATGTAAAAATACAGTGAAAAGTGTTTTCTCTCATGTTATATGCAAAGTGTCACCACACTCTGGTGCCACCTTGAAACACTGAATATAATATAAGGTTTTATTGCAGTAGAGTTCATCATTCACTCTTCTTTTTCCTCCTCCGCTGCTCCTCCAGTCACGTCTTGACATCGATCAGAGTCTCTGTAATGGGCTCTGGGATCTCGGTTACAGGCCTCCACCACTGCCACTCTGCGACCACCACTTCCAAGCTGGAGCTACAGGCTTGGGGGTGCACAGGTTCCATACCTCCTGTTCCCCATCCAACCCTCCCTCTTGCCGACTCTTCCGCTCATTCAGGCACCTGGTTCCAGCTGTAGACCTGGAGCCTCGGCTCAACCTGAGAGTCCAGACCAGGGGAGTCACACTTAGTCAAATCCAGGGTTGTTGTCATGCGCAGTAACTCACCTCTGGAATTCAGCTCTTTAGCGCAAGT